AAGAATTAAAAAAACGTACTACATGGAAATATTTATTTATAGATTTTGATTGAATCATATACACCCGGCAATATAAAAACTGTAACACTATCAGGTTATTACTTTTATACGTTATACTAGGTACACTACTTTTTAAGATTACAAATCTCACTAAAGAAGATTACTTGATGATATTTTGTGAATGACATTATAGTAAAAGGACAGTTTGGTGCACTGGGCATTTCGCGTTCACGCAGGATTCGGGGAAGGGCAGCACTCTAAGGGGTGTAATGTATACAGCCTACCATGCATAATGCAAGTATTAGTGATTATTTCAATGGAACGAACCCGTAACCTATAGGTCACGAAGACAACTTTACCGTTCTCCAAGGCTCCCCTTCAATAACATTATAGTGTATAATTATTTTAATTACCGGGTTAAATAATTTAAACGCTTACGCAATGATAGTGCTAAAAAAATTACACTATATATCAGCTGATTTAGTTGTGAATTTTAAATTTTAACCAAATTATCAATTGGTAATACTTATAAACAGATTTAGTGTAGTAACTTGTGTAATTACCTAAGTAATAAATAACTGATATACATTTTTTTTTACGCTGTCAGAAGGTAAACTCTTATATGTAGCAACAGTTTTTAACCTTTTCATTCCATTTAACCCAAGTGTGTGCTTTGTTATATAGCATATGGACCCAGAGGCTTTCTCAGCGAGTTTGTTCAAGTGGGACCCTAGAGGTGCTATGCCACCGACAACCCGGCTGTTGGAAGCGGCGGTGGCGCCTCCTCCTCCACTTCCAGCTCTGCCACCGCCGCAGCCTCTGTCGGCGGCTTATTCCATCAGGACAAGAGAGTTAGGAGGACTAGAGGAGTTGTTTCAAGCTTACGGTATACGTTATTACACTGCTGCAAAAATAGCGGAGCTAGGTTTTACGGTGAACACTCTATTGGACATGAAAGATGAGGAACTTGATGATATGATGAATAGCCTTTCACAGATTTTCAGATGGGAACTACTCGTCGGAGAAAGGTACGGTATCAAAGCTGCAATCAGGGCGGAACGGCGGAGGCTTGAGGAGGAAGAACTGCGGCGGCGCGGCCACCTTCTGTCTGATGGTGGAACTAATGCCCTTGATGCTCTCTCACAAGAAGGTTGTTTTCTTTGAACTTGAAAACTCCTAGAGTATATATTTGCACTTGGATATACGAGTACATAACCAGTTCGAGTGATTTCTACTACCAAATTCCACGTAGTTGGTATTTAAATGTTTAAGTAGCTAGTTAACGAACCTTGAGTTGAATTGCTACGTATTTCTAGTAGATAAATAACATGCATAACTTTTTGGAAATAGAATGATGTTTGTGGAACCACTGTTATATTGAACCCGAACCACGAGCCTAGTTATAGGAAAATACTTTATCATTACCGATGCATGCAATCAAGCAACTATAAGGTAGTAAGGTGATTGTTTCATATTCCACATTTGACCATCTCTAGTTTATTTTTATATGACGACACTATTACCCTACTTTGAGAGTTAAATAATTTCTTTAATGCAATCTTCTCGAACTCTTTATAGATATTTTTGAATTGTTAACTATTCTTACTTATAGTGATTTTTACTCAAATTTAAATGTATGATTTTATTTCAAAAAGAAAAAAATTACATTCGATTGCACATGAAAATTAAGTATTTGACCTCATTCTCCTAATTATTATCACATAAAATGAGGCATAGGGAGCAATTAGATATATTTTGTATGCACCCATTAACGTTATTCTCAATTTGTGTATATCTATTATATATTGGTGAAGTAGGGTTGTCTGAGGAGCCAGTGCAGCAGCAAGAGAGAGAAGCAGTTGGAAGCGGCGGAGGTGGGACGACATGGGAAGTGGTGGCGGCAGCTGGCGGAGGAAGAATGAAACAAAGGAGGAGGAAGAAGGTGGTGGCGGCGGGGAGGGAGAGAAGGGGAGGAGCGTCGGCAGAGGAGGATGAAGAAACGGAGGAAGGTCAAGAAGACGACTGGAACATTAACGACGCCGGGGGAGGAATAAGCGAGAGGCAAAGGGAGCATCCATTTATCGTGACGGAGCCAGGTGAGGTGGCGCGTGGGAAAAAGAACGGCTTGGATTACTTGTTCCACCTCTATGAGCAATGTCGGGATTTCTTGATCCAAGTTCAGAATATTGCCAAGGAACGTGGTGAAAAATGCCCCACTAAGGTCACCTTCTTTTCTCTCTTTCTCTTTATTTTCTTAATTTTTTTTCTTCACAATTGGCGCACATTATCTAATTTCACGAGATAAAATAATCCTATCCATTATATAATTTATTGACACATGTTTTGTTGTTTGGATTCCTTAGCATAAACACACATCTTCTATTTTATGGCATATAGTCATACAATTTCTTACTACGCTGTTTTTTGACATGACGAGATATTTTCAGTTATGAAACTGATATACGTCTAATATTTTTATGTTTTTCTAACTTGTAAAGTATATTTAAAAGAATATCTAATTGATATTTTAATTCACCAGACTAATAAAATCCTCCTACTATATATCTTCCTCTTGTGCTCTTAACCCGCTTATAATGTCGTATAAGTCTCACTTTTTTAAATTCAACTGTTATTTAAATATTTCTCTTTAATTACTAAAATATATTGGCTTTATTCAATAATTGGGGCTGAGTATAGTATAGTATACTCATTTTTTCTTAATTGTGAAAGGATATATAAAAATCTAGGTAGTAGTTGGTTGGGCATAAAATGAAGAACTGTGGGTTCAGAAGACCTCGTTAATTGGGTCAAGGTAACCATTAGCTGTCCGGAAGAGAACTCGACAGCTAAGGTACGGAATTGATGGGCTGAACCATAAAGCTTAATGAATTTCAGCCTCGGCCCATTACTCCTTTTGTACTTTTACTCAAGTGGTTCCACCTGTAAGCTTGTCCTTGCCTCATGGAAGTTCTACACATTGACCAACGTATGAGATAACACTTCAACGTTTTTTTGTTTGTGAATTACGAATAAAGCTTTCTTTTCTTATTCATTTTTTATTACTAGTTTTTAGGAGCCAAAGCTTGATTTAAACAAATTAAGCTTATGCTAGGCGCTTACCTTTTTTGGCCGAGGCCTTTCCTGCTGGGTGAGACTATGGCTGTCCAACGGGACTGGACCAAATAAACGGGACGCGACAGGACGATATTTAGCTGGGGCGGTGGAGGGACGGGCCTAAACGGAATGGGATAAACGGAACAAAACGGTAGGCCCATCCCATCCAGCTAACAAACAGGATGGGACGGGACGGTTCACGGGTCCTAAGTGGGCCTTTTTTTTTAAAAATAAAATTAATTATTTGAGCATTAAGTTTGACAACGGATAGATTTTTGACAATAACTAAGTTTTAAAGTTTGTAACGGTCAGTTTTCTGACTTATTTAATAAACTTAAAACTTAATAAATTATAAAGAAACTAAGTAAAGAATTATAAAATATTAAAACAAAAGACTTGTACGAAAAATATTTTAGTAATTATAATAGAGTAATAATTTATTTAATATAATTTCAAGCCATTAAATAACTAAGTAAGAGTGTAAGAGAATTCATAAAAAAAAATAAGGTTCTATTTTATTAATAGAACCTTCAAATTTCACATACAAATACAATTCTTTTGAAGAGCACCTAATCTACGCAACCACCTTCTAGGAAGGGTTCAGTTTGAACTAGGCCTCTTATATAGCTTCGTTGTAACTTATCTATAATTTCTATAAATAAATCAAATTCATGCGGAACAGGCAGGACGGGATGAAATGGGCATCCCGTCCCATCCCGTATACCGTGTAATATGGGCCCATCCCGCTTAGAACTAAGTGGGCTGGGACGGGACAGGACGGCCAGTCCCGTTGGACAGCCATAGGTGAGACTGATAGAATGAAAGGACAAGAGCAACCTTGTATAGTACTTTTTGTCCCGGTCTTTGTCTCTGAAGGACAATTAAACTAGCGACTCTTAAACGCTTGCCGTAATATTTTTTACATTTTTTTAGTTTGGGAATTATGAAATTGTCTATAACCTTGTAGTGTTACTGTTCCACTATATGTTGTTCATTAACTCTAAACAATCCTCTAGTATTCTCCATCAAAAATCAACTATTTGAAGTTAGTTTTTGGCAATTAAAATAGGAGAAGCAATTATCAAACTAACGTATTTTGGCTTTCGAATAGTTAAGGTGCAAAAATTAATCATCTTACAGTAATGTTGTTCCATGGAATTAAAATGGACAGGCATTGAATGATTGATCGTTTTGAAATTGCAGGTAACAAATCAGGTGTTCAGGTACGCGAAGAAAGCAGGGGCAAGCTACATCAACAAGCCAAAAATGCGACACTACGTGCATTGCTACGCACTTCATTGCCTTGATGAGGAGGCCTCCAATGCGCTAAGAAGAGCTTTCAAGGAGCGAGGAGAGAATGTTGGGGCATGGAGACAGGCATGTTACAAGCCCCTGGTGGCCATAGCTGCTCGACAAGGCTGGGATATCGACACCATCTTTAATGCACATCCTCGACTCGCCATTTGGTATGTTCCCACCAAGCTCCGCCAGCTTTGTCACTCTGAACGAAGCAACGCTGCTGCTGCTGCTTCTAGCTCGGTTTCTGGTGGTGTTGGTGTTGGTGATCATCTGCCGCATTTCTAAGTTGAGAGTTGAGTACTCAGTGTAATCTTTTCTGACTTTGCACCCACATCAACTTCCTACTTTGTTCTACTGGTTATGTAATCTTTTCAGCTTAATTAGATAAGAAAAAACTCTGCATAACAGTGTCCTTCAATCACTTCTGCAACTTCTGTAGCTGTTCACACGTATTAGATTTGACACATAATGGTTTGGTCAACTTTATATCTATTAGTGTTAATCCAAATACTAACCTACCAAACAGATAAATTAGTAATGCACAGAGACAAAAGAAGAGAACAAGAATAGACCACAAAGAAGGAAAATGAATGAAGGGACCAAATGGTACGAGTATTCTCATTGCACAAGTATTTACTGTCACTTCGATGTATAATTGTAAAGCAATTCGCCAATGTCGAACAAACCAATCAGGCTACTAAGTAAACATTCTCAATTCAGGGGCTCAAGAAGAATGAGTAGGGTATCTCCACAACACATCACCCCATGTGCTCTGCCCATCAGTTACCTCCTTAATAACAGATGCTACTTCGTCCACATTCACACGAATCTGCTGCTTGCTGTCCCTTTCACGGATTGTCACAGAGGTCGTTGAATCCACTGTAATGGCAAAGGGAACTCCAAGTTCATCTGTTCTTGCATACCTTTTCCCTATTGACGTACCTACAACACAAAATCACAAGGACCGCAACTAAATATCAAATAGTTAAAGCACCAGCAGTTCATCAAAACAAATACAAAATATACACATTGTTTCACAACGACAAAGCCAGGTTTTCATGGTTAATATGGACACTCCTGATATGCCCACAGAAGGTGTAACTTGCCATGAACCACATACCAGTCAAAAGCTCTGTTGGCATACAACCTTTTCAAAAAACCTCTATTGCTATACAAGGAAAACTTTAGCATATAATATGATCATAGTGTAACTGTGCAAACATGTCCAGATAATAGTAAACCTACTTATCCTATGGAGATCAGTACCGCATGGGAGAAGTGCACAAGGATATTGGAGTTGCCGTGTATGGTAACTCAAAGGGAAGATGAAGTAATACTCAAGTTTCTGCATTTGGACAACGTCAAACGAGCAGTTGTCAGGCGTCTAAACACCAACCTTAGTAAGACTATTAATTTCATGGCAGTGCACTAAATTAAGTTACCTGTCATATTTTGAGGGTAGAGCAAACAAAATCACAACACCACCAACAAACCCAGTGTAATCCCACAGGTGGGGTCTGGAGAGCAAACAAAATTGAAAAATGTGGAAAATATTAGCCTGAACTGGTTGATGTTAATGAACATCAAACAGTTGTTAGGTGAAACTTAGTAAATATGCTAATTTCCCAGTTAATTTTCGCCTTTTTTTTTTGGGATACCGATGGTGTTCCTGGCTAACTTGTGTGCACCTTGACTATTCTACCGGTTACCTGCATTCGCATCCTCCCTCCAGTATAAGAATCTACTAACCTTGTTTGCCACAACTTAGGGAGATGAGACAAAACCACCTACCTTTTTGTGCCTCTGCTGGATTCAAATCCTAATCTCCCATGATGTTCATTCTAGCTTCGTTCTAGGTCAACCCCTTGGGTGCGATTCCCCGATGAACTTTAACCCATTATTGGAGCCGATGTTAGAATTTTCTTAACCTATGTATGAATAGAAAGTATATCTTTTTAGGAATCTTAAGTCATGTCCACATATTAATATTTCTTATCACCGTCCAAGAAAGGGACAAGGAAATAATACTCCTAGTCAGTAGCTGAAAAAGTTAGTCACCTCCAGAACTGGAAAAATCAGAAAACAGGTGACATGTAATGGCTATGAATGGGATGCGAATAAATCTTCAAACACCCTTGACCCAGGTAGCTTTTCAAGGGAAATTATAAGACATATTTTGAAATTAGCATTCATAATCGAGAAGTTGCCAAAGCTCGTGCTTAGAATAACTTTTGAGGCCAAGCATACCTGTTATATCGATCTTATATGAGATCCCATAGGCAGTCAGCGACCTAGCAATTTGTCTGGCAACTTCCTCATATTGTTGATTCTGAACCAATGGGAACACAGTGCATTTTATAGGAGCTACAATAGGAGGGAAGCTGAAAAAATTCATTTGTTCATCACCATCTCTGCTAGGTCTTGTGTTGAAAGAATGCTCGTAGAGGCAGTATATTATCCTCCCAATACCAAAAGATGGTTCAATGACTGATGGAGTGAAAACCCTCTGGTGTTCCTTCTTCATTTCCTTTGAGATGGACACCATATTCTTGTTTATAGTGACAATCCTGTCGAGGGTGCAAACATGAAATTCGGCCTCCCCCTTAGACTCCAAAGTTGCTTTCATTTCCATTGCTTCTTTTTCACCCATAGCCTTGTGACAGAAGCAAACAATAATCTTATTAATTTAACCCTCACATGAAGGGCATAAACGAGTAAACTAATGCAATACTGCTGTGTACCTCCAGTGCTTCAACCACCATCTTTTGGTTACCCTTAAAAGCAAGACCTAACTCCTTCTTAGCTGGAGTTATAATAAGCTTCTGAAAATAGAGATAACACATTAAGCTAGTAAAGCATGTTTTACGTATTTTATTCAGGATTAGATTATAGACAGCAATCTCTTGTGCACAGGTTGAAAGAAAGAGAGACACCTCTACTTCCCTGGGCTCTGGAAACTTTTCATGGGCTAATAGAGGCACACCACTTTTATCCTGCAACGGGTGACTTAGTTCAGTGTAGGATAGTATACTAAGAAAAATTATGCTCATGTTGCATGAAACGCTAGGCAAACCATAAGTTAACAGATTGATACTGAAAAGAAGAAAACACTGAATGTGGAACCCCAAGCAACTGATGAAGTACCATATGAAAAGACTTGGGAGGTGGGTGGGGTGAAGAATATAAAAAATTAACAGTATGTGGCTATTTTATGTAAGCCTCACCGTGTGAGCACGCAAGTCATACGCAGACCTATCAGCTATACCAACACACTCAATCCATCCATAAGAGCATTCAATTTCAGCATCCCAACAGTCTGCAGCATAATGTGCCATTTCGTTTGCAAGATGTTGACGAAACCGTAGCCGGTCTTTGTCAATACCAAGATGAGTAAGAAATAGATATACTCTCCCTATGAAATATCCAAGAGTTTCATTGTTGACAATTCCCTGCAGAAGCAACAGTGATGAGTCATTCAAACATGTTTAACAGAAAAAATATAGGATTTATCCAGGAGACTAGGAAGAAACCGAGAAGTTAATTGTTGACTTTATCTAACCTGGACAACTGCTTCACCAAGACGTATTCTCCTAGCTGATCTTCCAGAAACCTGATCTTCTCTTGGGAACATCAAGAACTCCAAGTTTGCAACATCAGGAAATTTTGGATGAGATTTATCCTCCGGGTCAACAAAGTGCTCAATCTCAGCCAGTGTAAATTCACGGACTCTCAGGAGACCTTGACGTGGTGAGATCTGCATATAACCAAAAAACAAACATGGTTTTGAACATAAACATGGTCCATCTATGAGTTAGCTAAAGAGGTGAAATAAATTTAGAAAGCTTCAGTAACATATGGATCAAATATAAATTGACCGAAAAAAGAACAACAGTTAGGTAAATGTTAAAGCCAACGGTTGCCTAATATGGCGACCAAGGTGTATTAGCATATGCGATTAGTTTCAAATTTGAAGCATCACCTATGTCTACTTCGTCATACCCAAGGCACAATATAAAATAGAACAGTCTACAGACTCTGATTATCAGCAATGTGGAGAAATTTTGTTGCCCTGGTAACTATTCCATCATTCAGGATTTGACACAGTAATCTAATGAGTCCTCATGTTATAATTTTTGCAAAATAGACACTAGAAAATATACAAAGATGACCAGGATACACATCAAAAGAATAAAGGCAACAATAAGGTATGGATTTTATTAACCTCATTTCTGAAAGCTTGACCAATCTGTGCAGCCGCAAAAGGAAGCTTATTTCCATTGTAATAGTACAAGTCCTTGAAGTTAACAAAAATGCCTTGAGCAGTCTCGGGACGCATGTAACTGCAGGAAAATCAATCGCAGAGGCAATAAATTACAACAAAAAGAGTAATGACAAACTAAGCACAAATGTAATGGGTTAGCACACTTCTATATTATGGCTGCTCTAAAGATATTCTTACCCAGGACTTATGCCAGACGGCCCAATTGATGTTTGGAACATGAGGTTGAAAGGATAAGGGGCAGAAAGAGGATTCCTGGTATCTGGAGCAGTAATGCCATAATCCTTAATCTTAGCACCGAGCTCTTCAGCAGAAAGATCATCCAAAACAGCAAGCACGTGCCTGAATTCCGCGGCCTTTTCAGCAGGAAGATTAGGATCTCTCTCAAGCTTATCTTTGCAAAAGTCTTTCAGCAGATGATCTGCACGGTAACAAGTGCCAGTCTTTTCGTCTTTCACCATAAGATCAGTGAACTTATCAACATGACCTGACGCTTTTAGCACAACTTCAGGCGTAACACATGGGCAATCAACCTCTAACATGTTCTCCTCAAGAACAAAATGCTGAATTACAGAATAGCAAGTCACTATTTGAAGTATCATATAAATATGAAAGAAAAACCCCAATTTGTTAAACCCATATTATTAATGTTCACCACCTAGTGAATAACCTCACTAGGGTAAATGCACATATCCCTAACATAAAGTTGAGTAACTGAATTGGAACGCACTATAACACAAAATTGAGAATTTTGATAGTAAGAGAAAGACCTGGCGCCAGAAGGAGAGGACGTTGGATTTAACGGCACAACCAGGAGGGCCATAGTCGTAAAGGCCAGCAACGCCACGGTAGATCTTGAAAGAGGGGATGTAAAAGAGACGGCGTTCGAGTGTGTTAATCACAGCTTGCCGAAAAGCTTCTCTGTTCTGGGCTTCTTGGGCAGGGTCCATTTTTCAGACAAACACCAAGAAATTCACTCAGAATTCAGATCAATTTATCTACTAGTATAAGAATATTCACAATTGTTGGATTTTTGTTTTGACAAAGAAAGAAAAATATCAAGAGGTAAAGATATTTTTAGGCTTGAATCTCTGTCAGCACAGTGGATAACGTATATTTGAGGTTGTTTTGGCTAGTTGTGAATTTAATATTCAGGTCGCCCCTTGGTTCTTAGGGTTGTTGCTGCTAATTCACGCTTCTCATGCTGGCAATTACTACTCTGTATTTGTATATTCTCAAAGAAATATGTTCAGTCCACAGTATCTAACAGCTTATTCGAGTGCTTGTTGCTTATCCTTTCGTAATGTATCGTATGGTATGGTATGGTATTGTATCGTATTATATTGTATTGTATCATTCGATAAATCACACACCGGCAATATGAATAATAAACTTACATTATTAAAAAAAAATATGATACAGAATAAAATTATTATATAAAAAAGTAGGGTAAATGATAAAATAAAATTATTTAATAATAATAAATGGTGAGATTGAGAGAAAAAGACAAGGTAACGACGCGACCACACCAAATCGGTCGTCACATAAAGTGGCACATTTTATCCTTATGTACAACGAATTTAACGATACGATATAATAAAATTTAAGTAACAATCAAAACAAACATTATATTTAACGTAATAATGAGATACAACCATCCAAATAAGGTGTAAAGTGCGTGCCTTTTGACTGCGATGCCAATATCAATATCTATTAAAGAACACTGTTTAGTGCTAGTTGCCAATTTAATATCAGTATTACTGCTACCATATTCAATTTTAATCACGTTGTATAATCTCTCGCAAAATAATAGCCGAAAAATATATATTTTTGTATTTTTGGACAAAGAATTTCATAATTGAAATACAAATTCTCTATATCTCCAATTCTTTTTTTTTTTAACGTTACATGAATGTTTTTTTAGTACTTTTCTTTCACTTTCCTTAGGTTCGGGAATTTCATCAATAAGTTTATATATTAAGGTTTTTAAATTTAGATTTAACATTTTTTGTTGAAACAGCCTCTTGCAGAAATGCAGGGTAAGGTTGCTTACAATAGACCCTTATGGTCCGGCCCTTCCCCGACTCCGCGCATAGCGGGAGCTTAGTGCACCGGGCTGCCCTTTTTTAACATTATTTGTTGATTTCATCGTTATAGTCCATAAATTTTTAAAATTCATGAAATTTGCTAGTGTTGTCAATTTTCTTTGGGTATTAAAACTTGACCTTTTTCTATACCGAAGAGCAATTTAATAATTAATAATATATTAAAGTAACCAAACTGATTATTGGCCACTTAAAGTAATATTCTTTTTTTGAAAAAAATTATTATTGGCCACTTAAAACTTTCCTAGTTCGTTTTTAGTTAAGCAAAAGAAAAACTAATCTTGTCATACTACATGCATGTCAAAAATATAAATACTACTAGTTGATATGGAAGGATAAATGAGCAATATAAGATTGGAAAATGGGGATTATAATTAACATTTTTTACTTTTTACTTTTTTTAAATATTTAAATTTGAATTTAATTCATTTTTGGCCCACGGGCCGGCCCAGGCGCAGCCTCGGTCAAGCCTCAAAGGCCAGCGGGCTGACTTGGGCCGGGCTTACAAGCCTTAGTTTTAAATGGGCTAAAAAAATTCCAACCCAGTCCTACCCAACTAACGGGCTGGGTTGGGCTGGCCTCACGGGCGAAGCCCATTTTGACGGCTCTTGACAATTTTTATTATATAGTCAAATATAACAAATATATAGGTAATTAAAATTTAAATAAGTGACAATTTTTGGCAAATTTCAAAGTTGGAGTTTTCAAGTAGTGTTAAACTCGCAAGAGCACGTGAATTAACAATCATTGACCAAAAATGAATTCTGAAAGCAATAGATTTCCTTTAAAGATATTTTGGCAATATCTATCAGTATATCTTATTCCCTTCCTCTCCCACCATTTAAAAGAAATTATTATAATCAGTGGAGTGAACTAAACTTTTACTGGAGCTTAAATACCATTGACTGAAAAGATAAAGTGAATTTAGGGGAAACTATGTTTGATAAGTACCTTTCAACTAATAAATAAATGGATGAGATTGATTCCTGATATTATAACGATGGATAATTTCAAATACTTTGGTTTCTCTGGACAAAAAAATCTAATGCAATCAATCTCATCCGTTCGTTTAGGCGAATAAAATATGTCAGATACGTATAGTCTAAGCCAAATAGTCACATAAGAAGGATGGTTCAATTTTTCATGAGTAAGTGATATATATTGTTCACAATCGAAGTAGAACTGGAGGTTCCAGCTGGTAACTTACTTTGATTGAGAGACTAGTAACATAGATGATATGTCATTCTAGGTAGTTTGTGTTTGTGCCATTGTTCTAAGATCGCATTGGATCTTCTCTGATTTTCTTCTTCTCGAACTGTATGGAGAAGCCGTCCTTGCAGGATGAATACTCAAAGACAAGGAGAGAAAAAAATGAATTAGTAAGAGGCTTTCTCTTTTATTTTTTTTATTTTTTTGTTGTTGTTGATAAATAGAGGCCTTTCTATTATAATTTTATCTTCTACTCAACAAAAAGTTCTTTTTTTCAATTAATATGTCTAGATTCATAACAATAAAATTAAATAAGCCAATTACCACTTATCCTTTTTTCACTACTCTTTTCTACCTTTATATTTCTATTCAAAATAAAGAATCAGGTGGAAAAAGAGTAGTGATGGCAGGACAATAGGCAAATAGCTTTAAAAACGAATAATGACCTATGTTTAATCTTTCTTGTAGCTGGCTCGCAAAGATCAGTTGCAATTCCTGAATGTTTGAACAAATGCCTGATTTTCACCTTTTTTTCGTTGCTGCATAGATTTTTCTCCACAGTGCATGTAATTGCAATATAAGAGGAAAGAAGCAAAGAGAAAGGAGGAGCACTTCATATTACAAATTTGGAGAATTAATTGTTTATTAATATCTTGATTTACGTATATGCCTCGAGTCTGAAATACTATAAATAAACCACAAAACATTGAGGAGACTCATAATATACATGTATACTGTGTAGAGTTTCCAATCTCTATGGACGTCGTCATCCTCATAACATCGATCCTGAGAACACCATATGATATAAATTGTGCATTAACATATCTAAGTATGCTTGTCCAGCAATCCCGGTAACATAGGGCCAATGTACCCTTCAAGCAATGTGTGACCAAAATGATCTCTTTCTATCTTAATTTGTTGGAATAGAATAGACCACAACAATGTCTACTAATGGCGACAAAGATTAACCCTAAACTGATGCATTAGCCATGACAGTCCCTTTATCTTCTTCCGTGGTAACTAAGTAACATATACGACAATCTCAATAATTTTTTCAAAAGGATTTTAGTTATATAAATTGACAGTTTCAATGACTTTTTTGAAACTGCAATCAGTTTTGCAGTAAACATTAGATCTTATTTTATGAGCTGACACTTAATTACTAGTCATAAGCAACATATATAACTCACGTGCCAGGGCGTGACACACGTGAAGCAGGTGTCTGTCTTCTCTTGTGCTGGCATTTCCTTGCACAATTAATGTAAAGGAATGCCTTCGCGTCAATTGGAGCTAGTCGATGAACGCCATCGGAATAGCTAGGTTAATTAGAAATAGCAAAGATATATGAACAAGGAGATGGTGATATGATGTGTAGAATCACAGAGTAGCTTGAAAATTTTAGGTAGAAAGAGTCTTAAGGTTACCTCTATATATAGTGGCAAGACAGGATTTGGAGGAAATAAAAAATTTGATGGTATTATATATACTGAAGCAAGTTAGAAATCATTGGCTGAAAATGTAAAGTAAATTTAATTAGGGGAGACTATATTTGACCACTTCTCGACCAAATGGACGGATTAGATTGATTCCTAATGTACTAGGAAAAATAGCAGATTTTCTTGTTATTCCTGAATAATATATACAGTAATCCGATTCTTGTTTTTATTGCAAATTAGATTATTGTAATTTCTCTTTTTGTCCTCTAACCATAGATAATTTCTAGAAGTCAAAGTATTTCAACAAAAAAGCCGTCTGAGGGAAGTCCATCGATCGACCCTCAAGGCCAAAAGCATAGTTGCAATATATAGATTCTTATGGATTTTTTTTAGAATTTACAGATATATTTTCTATAATTTCTATTACGAGTATATGACGAGTTAATCCTTTTAATCCTGTCTAAGCTTATCACTTACTGATTCAATATCTCAAAATCCAGAATAGATTCCTATTAAGATAAACGCAATTAATGTAGGGATTATGGACATAACTAATAAGCATCCAAGTTTTTAATGATCTACTGAGTCAATTGTATTTGTAGTTGGTTCTATTTTATATAGAAAAAATTCATCATTTTCCCAGTTTAATTAAAGATATTAAACGTGCTATCAAACTTCTCGTTCTAAGATTTGCTACATCTTATTTAAATGTTTTACCCAAAAAAAAAATAATAGACTATTATGTTACTAAACTCGTATATCAAATGAAATCTTACTTGGCTGTTTGACTGTACATTTGATAAACCACCTACAAATACACAAATTTTCATAATACCTGACATAGAAATAATTAAAAAATCCGTATTTTTCTTAAATTTTTCCATAAGAACCAATTGCATGATATTATTATGCCAAGTATTGCTACTATTCTTACTAGCAGTGAAAGTGGACTTGAGGGTAGAAGGGCACATGTCCCTCACGCAAACCTTCTGTTAAAAATACTTTAATTTTTTCCAAAATAATTTATTCCTAAAAGACAGACAGAAATATTACAAGAATCTAATTTGCAATCAAAGTCAAATTACGGTAAATTAAAATATCATCAGGAATAACGACAAAATCTTCTACTCCTAGTACTAAAAATCAATCTCATCCGTCCGTTTAGTTGAAAAATAGTCAAACTAGTCTCTTCCAAATATACTTTACGTATTCAGCAATAGCTAAAGTAATCTAGTGTAAGTTTAGTGGACTTCATTTCAAATCTTTCTTTTCCTCCAAAACCTTTCCCACTACTATAAATAGAGCTAATCTTAACACTTCTTCTACCTAAAATCTTCTTACGTTGTTGTGATTTCTTCACACTAGCTAATCACCATATCCTTTTCATCGTTTCTATCTTCAGTTAACCTAGCTAGTCCAATGGCGTCCATCAATCAACTCCCGATTGACGGCGAAGGCGTTTGCATGATATGTAAAGAAACGCCGTCACAGGAGAAGAGAGTCACCTGTGTTACGTGTGTAACGCCCTGGCACATAGATTGCCTGGAAAATCCACCTGTTACGTTATCGTCCGTCGTTAACTTCGAGTGTCCTGACTGTGCCGGGACAGGTCTCACAGGGGTGGCTGCGCCGCCGCCTGCCACCGCAGGCGGAGAACTAGTGGCGAAGATTCGGGAGATCGAGGCGGATACGTCGATGACGGAAGAAGAGAAGGCGAAAAGGAGACAAGAGATAGTCAGTGGAAAACAACATCAGAATAACGAAAATGAAGAAGATGAGGAGGAAGAAAAAGATGTGTTGGCTGTGCTTGGTGAAAGCATCAAATGTCCCTTTTGTTATATGCTTCCAGATAGGCCCGTAACGGTATATCTAATATCACTTTTTTGTAAATGATTCCTTCTCATGTCTACTTTCTTCGATCCTTTCTAGGTTTCCATTTCCAGATCTAATACAACTATTTTGATATGTGTTCTATGCAGTTCCCAGGTGGTAAATTCTATCAAGGGTATAAAAAAATGCAAGAATGCCACACTTAGGATTTAAATCTGCGTAATCTAAAATAATTTTTAAATTTGACCACCTTTGCCGCTTCACTAGAAACTTCCCTTATGTAAAGTAAATTGATGTATGCATTTTTAATTATTTGTAAAATATAATTTTTCGATCAAAGAGATTCAATTAATTAAACCCCTTCACCGCATGTACATCGGCGGCTGGTTCTATGTATGCATGAGAAGTATATATATAGATGCACACGTCTATAATCATTTCAGGGCTTATGTTAATAGTGAAGCTTCTACACCCTAGCTAATGGTTATCTTTTTTCTTTTCTTCTTTTTTCCAGTCATCCTGTGGACATAACTTCTGCTTAAAGTGCTTTAAAAAGTGGATTGGCCAAGGTAAAGATAAATGTGTCAAGTGCCGTAGTCAAATTAGTCGCCAAATGATTGATCAACCTCGTATAAACTCGGCATTAGTGACTGCCATAAGAATGGCGAAGGAATCGAGAAAGAATAATGCCCCTAGAAGGCCTCAACCAGCCTATAATCAGGTGAGCAGATCTGGCGAATGGAGTTATATATATTGTCTATTAGTTCATCCGAAACTAATATTTTGATATACCACAAAAATATTTATATGAAAATCGCTAAAATTAATTTTAAATAACAACTAATGAAGTATTAGGAACTTTAAGGTTAAACCCATGAAATTTAAAATTTGAAATTATATCTGCAGATGAGTGAGGAAGTTCGTCCTGATAATCCATTTATCCGGGAAGGAGCGGCTAAAAGAGCTGGAATGGCTAATGCATCAAGCGGGAGAATATTTGTTACGATCCCTTCGGATCATTTTGGCCCAATATTGGCAGAGAATGATCCGGAGAGAAATCAAGGTGTTTTAGTAGGGGAGTCGTGGACGCATCGGTTGAATTGCAGGCAATGGGGTGTGCACTGGCCCCATGTGGCCGGAATTGCTGGACAAGCAAAATATGGTGCGCAATCTGTGGTGCTCTCAGGTGGATACGAAGATGATGAGGACCATGGAGAATGGTTTCTCTACACGGGAAGGTACGTGTTAACTGTTAATTATCTCTATATATGAGCTTTCAACCTTTTTGGTTTAATTGAAGATAGTATTTTAGACTCAGGGCCATAGTTTGTAATTCTACTTAAATACAAATTCCTGACGATGTATATAACTTAAACTTTATTATATTATAGCTCCTCTTAACTGACGCCTTAATTAAGCTATAGGAGGGAATAACAATCTAAGCATGCAATTGAGATTTTGCTTAACTCCCTCTTCGATCTAATTTGATGTGACTCTTTCTAATGATACAAGAACTTAAATTAAGACTCTTTCCTTCTCGTATTGCAATTATATATATGCAGTGGGGGAAGGGATCTAAGTGGAAACAAACGAACAAATAAGGATCAATCATTTGATCAAACATTCACCAATTCCAACGAAGCTTTGCGAGTCAGCTGCCAAGAAGGTTATCCAGTTCGTGTTGTTAGGTAATTTATCATATAATTTGATGATGAATAATTTTTTTTCATTGAGCAAGTGACTCCCTTGTAGTTATTCTATAAATACAATGATTAAATTAAAACTGAAGTAACAATTAATGTGTTATATATTTTTTTCTATTAAAGTTGACTCATACACATTTTTTATGGTCAGATCCCACAAAGAAAAGCGTTCATCCTATGCTCCACAGGATGGTCTTCGTTATGATGGTGTATACAGGATAGAGAAGTGTTGGAGGAAAATGGGAAAACAGGTAAAATATTTCTTTTATAAGATTCCATAACTTCTCTAGCTAATATTACTAATTACTTCTAATTGAACAGCTGACTGAATTTGAGACATTTATATGTATTTGTATCATCAGGGGTACAAGATGTGTAGGTACTTATTTGTGAGATGTGACAATGAACCTGCCCCGTGGACGAGGTTTGTACATGTTTTCTTACTTCCCCAATTGATTACTGTACTACTGTTTAATTCTTAACTGCAGATTAATTATATTCTTATGCAGTGATGAGCTTGGGGATATGCCTCGGCCCTTGCCAGAAATTCCTGAACTTGAAGAGGCACTCGACATTTTTGAGAGGACCCGCAGTCCTTCATGGGATTATGATGTATGATATTCTTTTGCTTATAGTAGTAAACTTTTTTGGTACTTTAATTAATTAGCATGCAATATTTTGTTTTCAGTTCTCCATCACAAATTAACTTAACTCTTAGAAAATTTTCGAGTATCTATATATACAGTACACAGTACAACTATTCAAGGAGTAGTTTAATTTGCATATGTTGACAATGTGAAAGACTTTTTTAGTATCAAGTCAATTATAGTTAAGTAACTGTTCATAAAACAATCGGATTAATTATAACCTAAGAAGTAAGCATATTATCTGTTACAACAAGTTAAAACGTACTTATAATATTAAAAATCTCTAGACATTTTCGTTAAATTTTATTTGAATTTTTTTTAAAAAAAGAATCCATGTCTGGCCAGGAGGAAGAAGGCAGGTGGAAGTGGAAGAAGCCACCACCGCCAAGCCAACAAAGAGTAACTGAAGGAAGTTCGACGGATGGGAAGAGAGCAAGGAAGATACCAAAGAAAGCTCAGAAAACATCTATGAATAAGACACTTTTAAAAGGTTAAGCAAAACCAATACTAGTATAGTACTATATATATAGTATATATCTCACCCTTTCCCTTCAATTCCTTTGTTGGATACGTCTTATATATGCAATTAAGATTAATTAATTTGTAATTTGACGCATGCAGGGTTCAGCTGTCTACTTTGCAAGAATGTGTTAACTCTCCCTGTAACCACTCCTTGCGCTCATAACTTTTGCAAAGGTTGCCTTGAGCAAGCATTTAAAGGACAAGCATTTATAAAGGAAAGGGAATGCCATAATGGGCGAAAGCTTCGGACAAAGAAGAATTGTATGAAATGCCCAGCTTGCCCACTTGACATATCTGAGTTTTTGCAAAATCCTCAGGTTAATAGAGAGCTTGAGGATGCCATTGGGAAATTACAAGAGGAGTTTCATGAAAAAGACAATAATGATGATATTGAAGATGTAAAGGAAGAGGTTATAATTAAAGAGGATAATGAGATCGTAATGTCTAATGATGATGAGATCCTTTCAAATGATAACAAGTTAAACAAGAAAAAGAAAATTGATGCTGGGGAGAGCTCAACAAATATTATTGATGGTAGTAATTAGCTCTGATTATTGAGGAACATTTTAATCTAAGAAAAAACGTGACATTTTGCTCCGTATTGATTCGTTCCTTTTTTTTTTTTTCCTTTTTGGGATATATTTGTCGAGGAATTATATCCACGTATCGGACCTAATTCCTAACATATGTTATATTATTACATCTCTTGAGGATTTTATTTGTATTTTGTATTCTCTGCCTGAAATACATTAATATTTATTTAGTACTTTCGTTTTATTTGACGTGACAATATTTGATTTAGCCTGAAATTTAAAATATTAGTTTAATTTATATGCTGTATTATTAGATATGTTGGAAGAAAAATATAGTTTAAAAGCTAGTTAGATAAATAAAATGTCTGACGCCTACTTAATTAGAAAATTAGGAGGTTGACTGTAAAGATGATCAACCAATTTAAATTAAAAGTACAAACATTGCTTGTTCGAAACCGTGAAGATAAAATAATAAGTAGAAAGAGGTAGTAATCGGCCAACTAAAACAAAAGGTTGTTATATTTGCAATTCTATTAAACTAATGATTAAATTTTTAATAGACAAAAAAGTGGCTATGCCATTGAAAAAAATATTGGTCTGATCACTGATGCCTGGTTTGTTAAGAGAGTGAATAGGAGGTTAGGTTTGCAAAAAAATTAAAATCGTGGCTAGCCTTTAAATACAGACCTTCGAAGTGATTTTGCGGAAATAGCCAGTTGAAGTAATTGGTTCGGGTCTTAAGTCTAAACCCGTAAATGGGCCCAGTTTAAGAAATGGGTTGTAAAATAACCGTCTTTGAACTCGGAATACTGAGTAAATTGGTCGAACAAAATTTTACACTCTCTTTCAGGGCTTGCTTGTTTCCTTCAAGCATTTGCTTCTTACCTGTCTCATCCTCGCCGTAGTCAGGTTTTTTCTCTTTTCTTTCTCATTATCTAGTTCTAATTTCGTGCAACAACCTAAAACTTTTGTAGTTAAATGAGGTGAAATTGTTAATTAATCCTTTTGATTCTGTTCAAACTAAGACATATTTTGTTAAACTGTACTTTCTTTTGGTTATTTGATAAATCCTTTTCTGACTTTTTCTATTCGGTGAAAATCCTCAGACGAAGTGCTCTGTGTTTTGTTGAATACATTGAAATTCACTCTCCTGCCTAATTGTAATTTTAGTATTTTGCTTTACAGGGACCTTCTTGTAGCTGTATTTTATAGGATATTTGAATTCGTAAGTATCTTGCATAGATATACAGTAACATAGGCATAAGCTAACCTCTTTAAGAAACATATGAGCACATGCTGAGAACATACTCCCATATATGGTTGGAAACTTAACTACATAAATTTTTTAGTGAGGAGTCTTTTTATGGTAGTGAATTTTTTTATTTGCACTCTATAATATAGTTATAAGCTGTTCTTTAGGTGAGGAATACATATATTGTGTAATTATGATCTTCACACTAATTGGAAAAGTAAAAATAATATTCTCTGCTATGTATTGAAATGCATTTACATTTATCTTTCCATGTTCGCGTGCTATATTTTGTTCTTTGCACGAAATTTATTAACATGCTTATCGTATCATAAGTGACTTGATTTTTAGGTATATCTCTGCCACCTGACCATTCGCTACTGGTATATGTGATTCAGAAATAGTTCTTACTGATATTTTCTTTTGGTTCATGGCACATTCCATGATCTATTTGGCTTTTTGTTGACTTTGGTGCTCTAAGGACAACGTGTTCAACTTGTAGATTTTTTGGGTCTGGCTTAGTAAATTCTCTTGATATAAAAGGATACTAATTACTTACCGGAGAAAAAGATGAATTACTTCAAGTTATTGATTATTTTTTCTTATTTTCCATATACACGTGCTGAGTGAGCAACTTCCTACTAAGGAATGCTCATTTGAAAGTCTAGACACTCCTTTTTCAGAGATAAAATTTGAATTTTATTGTCTGTCAAACATTTATATGCAGACGGTTATTATGTCTGTACATAAAAAGGCACTTCAGTACTAATTATATGTGTGATCCTGTTCTTGATTCTCCTTTTAAATTAAATTTCCCTCTTTTTGGGTTTAGACTTCTCACATCTGTATGAGATGAGAGATCTGTCAGTTTGTTTGAGATTGAGGCAACAGAGGGACAATGTTGGACACTCCAAGGTAAAAGAGCCAAGTGTTATCTAAGGCCGGCAATTCATTTTGTTATATGGTCTATTATCAAAACAAGAAAACCCCTGACAAACACACATAAAACCAGCAACATCCTTCAACGGAGTCTTCACATATACATAATTTTATAGAGAGAGAGCGTTAAAGGAATTGTGATTACTATCCCGAACAAAGAAGAGACAGATCTAAAGAACGCTGACCTTTAATGGCACTACTCCTTGGAGTTGTTCGTGTATATCTTTAGCTTTGCATCCCAAAGGGAAAATCCTGAAAACAAAGATTAGAATTGAGATATACATGCTTAAATCTGAGGCTTATTAGTGGAAATCTTTGACTTCAAATCTTAAAATGGAAAATAATGAAAACAAAGATTAGGTGTCAGATTGACATTCTTAAATGCTTGATACATATAGTCAGTTGTCAAAAAATAAAGGAAAGACCGATGGCGGCAGGACAAAAGATTAACTCTTTATATGAGAATAATTGAGATTAGCAGGGATGCATCAGAGGGAAGGAAAAAGTCACCTGAGGACTCAGTTGCGGCGTGAATTAGATGAAAGAGCAGAAAAGTAGGCGGAGAGACCAATGTGTAGGGAAAGTGATAGGCAGGAACGGCTGTGAGGGTTTGCCAATTGGAAGCGAGATTTTATAGGCTCTAACAGTTTTGTCAGTTTTACCAAATCACCCTTGTTAACTTTAACAAATTACTCAAAAAGCTCAGATATTAACGGAAAGCTGTCAGGATGCGCTGTAAATGACGTGTATCGCTATCATGTTTGTGTTGATATTTGACACGTGCGAGCCTTAATCTGCTGTTAAAGTAAACTTGTTGCTTTTCTCGTGACTCTTTTTTGTCGGAATGCTTAACTGTATTTGGTTGTTGCGTTACTATGCCGCTAAACATAAGTAGTTGTTGTCCCCTTAATGCATTTGCATGCTTGTGAGGACTGAGGAGATTCAGAACATGTGTAGCTATGAATTTGTATTACTCATATGTGGCTAGTTCAATTTATTTTTGTGACCCATGCGAGACTAGTCTTTCCATTTATCTTATCAGATGGTTTAGTGTATAGGTGGACGATTTTGGTTGGCTTGATGTTGCTGATGTTCCATTTTTCTTTTTCCTCCCATTTTCTCATAAGGATTCATGTACCTAATCTTTGATTGGCCTAGAGTAATCATTTCAATCTTCTCCTGGAAGAATACCTAATTTGAGCCAGCTGATGCAGAACCTGCTATTAAACCACCAAATGATGTCTTTTTGAAATGGAATGGAATGGACCCTTTTCTGGCAATGGAAATGATGTCTTTTTTTCCTTTTGAGATTATTGTTTTCCGTTTGCCTTTCTTCTCATTCTTAAAATTCCTATATTTAATTTGTTGAGTGTTGATTATGTAATCAACCTATTCAATCTTAAGGAAAAAGAAAATGTTAACATTGGATGGCTTCAAGTAAGGGATACAGTTCATATAAGTGAAAGATCTTAGATAAATTACAAATATGAATAAGAATTAGTAAATCGAACCCTTACGTAGATAAAGGTTTGGTATTTAGGTGAAGATGGGTATAGGGCCAGGCCCACTATCCACTAGCCGCAGGGATTTCAAACTGTGTGCCACTAAAATGTGGAGACTTGTCCCATATGATTAATTTTCTTAGCGATAGGTAAACTATCATATAAGTTGAACTGCATCAGTTTTTCAGGCAAGTGGTGTAATGCAAATTTATGCCAAATGTTCAGCGCCTGAAATGAATACATAGAGGTGTTTCTTTTTGTTCTCATCTTTCTTGGTCATAAAGAAAATAAGCAAATTCATCTAATTTATACTACTAATAAGGCCCCAGCCTCCACAGTATCTACATCTCCCACTTTTTGTCCCATTATCCCCAAGAGAAAAAAATTGTATTGACATAAATTCACTTAAATTGTAGCAATTTATAGGATTGTTACTATTGAAGTGTGTGTATAGTATCGTGTAAAAACTTCGATTTAATAGTTTTGGGTTTGCAACACTCCCTCTGTGTTTTTCTTGATCGGTGATGGTGAGGCTCGAACATGGAACTTCAGTCTATTCTGATATGCTTGATATGTGCTAATATCATATTGAAGTATATGAACTATCTAATCTACGAAGTTAACTGAATTGTGTGGCCGGCTAGTTTACAAGTTTAAACTGTTAGAGAAAGGACACTCTTTTTTATTAATTTTTAGGTCTACAACAATTAATAAGCAGAAAATTTGTAAAAAATGTCACAAAAATGATGAGTGTGCCATGGTAGCTGGTTGAGTAATGTATGAAAACCTCTGAATGATTTTGCAATACTGAAAAAGCCTCATTTGAATTGCTCTCGCCTGAGTTTGTTATTTTATTTTTAGAGAGATTTAAAGAATGTATTTAACTAGTTCGGTATCCTGCTGGCTTCAAACAGTTTTGACTTCCATAGCCTTGCAACCTATTCTTTTGTATTTGCTTCCCCTAGGCACCGATCTTGGTAATCTTAATGTAGTTAAATGCTACCATATGATATCTTGGTTTGGTAATACTGCTATTTGGATGGTTAAAAAGGAATAATGTGCTTACTGATACTCATTTCGCAGAGGTTCTTGGGAGGATAGAGTCCTGTTTTGAACTGAGCCTCTATTGCCAAAAAAAAAGAAGGAAAAATAAGTAGAAGAACTACCAACCAAAAAGGGAAAAAAATGAACAACTTATTAGGTTCATTGTACTATTGGAACAGAAGTTGTGTTATTGTTTAGGTGGAATATTACTTTCAATTTTTGGTATCAGTTAGACTTTTCTTATGTAGTTTCTTTGCTATGCAGAACTAAGTTTATCTGGGAGAACATTCATGTTTCACATAAGTCTGTTCGTTGCTTGACATCTGTTCTGTCTTCTTAATTGCAGGGTGTGAGAATTCTTGCAGATGTGATTGTTATGGGTTCTGGAATAGTGGTAAGGGCCTTTGCTTGGGCATGTCATCAGGACTTGCAAGTAAGTTTCATGGACAATATGTCCGATTTGTTGAGTTGATTCTTAATTTTACAATAGTTTACATTAGCATTTTATACCCAAAAAGAAGGAAAGGAAAAAAATGGTTTTTTTTTTAAATAAAATTTTTCATTGGGCTTTACTAATTCATACATGAGCAAAACCAGTAGGGTACTGTTTGTTGACAACCCCAGCTAGGTGTTCCTGCAGTGAAAGCAAGTGCAAATGGAAATCATCTGCCATCTAATGGTGCACAGCTGCAGGAACAAGTTTTTGGACCTTCGAATTACAGTACCGTAAAGTAGACTGTATTTCTGCTTGATGACTCAATTACCCCGATGATTAAATATGCTCGAAGCTTTGCCTCTTTATTGATTGCCTTGTTTAATTTACAATCTAAAACGTGTTTGGTTAATGGCAGATGCCTCAAGAATCAGTGCCGCCCATGAAGCAATACACAATATCAATAAGCAAGCAAAATATCAGAGGCTAGGCAAATTCTTGGTTCGCGGAGCATTCATCGTGGGATGACATGTTGCAGTTTTATCTGAAGCGCATTGCACTTGAATTCTTCTCTTTATCTATATTTTCGCCAGAGGTATGTTTACTTATGTATGAGAGAGATGCAAAGACTTGGAGTTTTCATCTTCCACGTTCATAGTGCCAAAGAGTCCTCAGAAACAAGTTGCCAGGGTAAAGCACATGGTCCAAATTAGTAAGTTAGAGTATTATTTTTGCTCTGCTTCTAGTAGAGGTTCTCCTGGCGTTTTAAGGAGTATGTTTAGCAGAAGAGCATTACTCCAGTCACCAGATTTTTCCAGTAAAAGTTTCCGTATGTATCTATTTTCAATTTTGGATGGTGGACGCTCTACTTCACTTTAAGTAGAAGCAATTTAATTAATGATTTGTGTAATTTACCTTAGCTCTGGTTTTCTTTAGGCTCAAACCCCCCTTCATTATTGTTTCATGTGCTTATGGCGGTAAAATCTTGCGAGTGTGATGAAGCGCTATGCCCGCTGATATTGGGGGAGGAACTTTGAATTGCGGTTAGAAAATTAAGAGTAAAAGAATGCCTCTTGGTAATTTGTCATTGGTGTAAGATTTCATCTCTTGTAAGTTTTAGTTGTTCGATTGAGTCCATGATGAATCGTTGAGAGGAGAAAGGGAGAAGCAGCTTGAGGAATGACCCACGCAGGGGTAGATATAGCAATTTTTATGCACTCTAATCACCCTTGTGAAGAGGCGTAGTTCCATGTAAAAATAGCACGGTCTAGCCAATTTTCGGACTGGTCATTCAAAAATAGCTAGCGTTTACCAAGTCAATGAAAAATAGCTACTATTTTGCTGCAACAGAGACCGGTCCAGCATAATATACTGGAGTTCGGTGCACCTGTGTATGAACTTCCAGCATATTATGCTGGAATTCCAACACACGGAAAGTTCCAGCATAATATACTGGAGATTCGAGCACTTGTGTGTGAACTTCCAGCATATTATACTGGACCGGTATACTTTGCTGGAACTCCAGTATATTATGCTGCATAATATGCTGGAGTTCAAGTATACTTATGCTGGAACTCCAGCATAATATACTGGCGTATTTTTCGGGTTTTGAACAGTGTTTTCGCTCAGATTTATCTTTACATGAAAAGTGGTTAAATTTCGATTACTTTTGAAACTGGGCTATTTTTGAACGACCACTTATAAATCTGACTATTTTTGAATTTCTCCCTAGTTCCATTTACAGTATAATGCTGGGCCGCTGGGTATTCGCTCCCTGATATAAACTTGACAGCCATGTATTAGTAAAATTTTATTTTCTTACTTTATAGTTTATGTATCTGGTTTCTTCAGTTAAGTTAGGTACTACTGAAATGCTGAAGAACTTTCAGGTATTGTGCAACGTGTATAAGCATTAGAGCGATAGATGCGCGGCGTTTTGTTTTATTTTTTGATATTTTGTAATATTTTTTTGCTTTTCGAAGTAGGGTAAGAGGTTCAAATCTGTTCAAATCTTGATGGATAGAGTTACTTGTTATTTGTGTTGGTGGAATGTTTCGTATGCAAGTTGACTAGGATGCCACAATTTAAGAACAAGAGTAGGGGTTAGACTTACAGCTTGTTTGGATGGTTGTTACATATCATTTCATAATATATCGTATTGTTTGATGAATGCAATGTTTGGATGGATTGTGTTGTTTGACGTCGTTTCATGATATTACGCACCAGCAATATGAAGATTAAACTTGCAATATTATAAAGAAAAATTATGATACAGGGTAAAATTATTATATAAAAAGGTAAGGTAAATAAAAAAATAAAATTATTTAATAATAATGCAGTGTGAGTTAGAGAGAAAAAGACAATGTAACAATGCAATCATACCAAATTGATCGTTACATAAAGTTGCATATTTCGTCGTTAACGATGAATTTAATAATATGATACAATAAAATTTAAGTAATAATCAAAACAAACATTATATTTAAGGTAACAATACAAATGGTAACAAGCATCCGAACAAGCTGTTAAGATCGATAGAAATAATGCCGAAGAGTTTGACAATACATGCAGGACATGGGCGTTGGATAACAGCAACTTGTATTAAAGGATGTCGTGTCTGTTTAATATATTACTCCACCGTTTCAATTTAGATGAGATAGTTTGACTCGGCATGAAGTTTAAGAAAAAAGAAGAAGATTTTTGAAATTTGTGGTCTTAAAAACTTAAGGGGTAAAAGCTTTGTGGGGTCATGACATTTGTGTGATTATAAAAGCTTCTCATTAAAGATAAAATGAAGAATTTAAAATTAAATTTTTTTTCAAATTTAAAAATATGTCATTTTTTCTGAAATAAACTAAAAAGGAAAGTACTTTAATCTCATTTAAAGCAGAGGCAGTAGCTTTATTTTCAAAGTGCAGAGATATACGATTTCGGAGAAAGTTATGTAAAATATGAGGATTCTTTATGTTCTTATGTTTCACTAGTAATGATTTCAATGATATAAGTATCGGATACACGTGTGCAGTAGCTAGTGAAAGGAATTTAGCAAGTCGGCGTGCCTAAAAAAAGAAGAAACAGTTGTATCATATTCAAATGTAATTTTTATTAGCTGCGGGAATCATTCCTTCTTTTTATTTTCCTTTTCTTCTCAATAACTTGCATTATCGTGAAAATCTTAATAAAGTCAGACCTCTTAATAACTACCATTTTTATATGATAATACTTTATATAAATATTATATTTTTTTCGGAACCAATTTTTAAGTTATGTTATAATATATATTTTTATAACAGCATTTCGCTATAACATCCACAAATATTAAAAACAAACAAGATCGTTAGAGAGAAGTTTGAAATGACGCATACAACTTTTACTGTAGTGGTTTGGCATACAACTTTTACTGTAGTGGTTTGGCACAATAATGACAACTAAAAGAATTTTTATCCGGTACTAAAAATAAATGCAATTGACCATCCTAATTGAAGTGTGATATTTGTAACCCAGAAAATAAGGTATATTACTATTACAATTAATTAAAAAACACAAATAATAGGCTGGGACAGAGCTAGAGTGTCGGGAGCTGGTTTGACCGAATCCAGTAGCTTTGGTTCGAACCCTGTATTTGTCTTAAATTTTTATTAAATATGTTAATTATTAATTTAAAATACAGTAACTTAAAAGAATTAGAATCTCGCACCCGTAAGTTTGAAATTCTAGTTCCGCTTAAGATAATAGGTATAGGTAGAGCCGTCAATATGGGCTTGGCCCGTAGGGCCAGCCTAGCCCAGCCCGTAATTTAACAGGGTTGGGCTAGAATTTTTGGAGCTCGTTTAAAAACGAGGCTTTTAAGCCCGGCCCGAGTAAGCCCGTGGCCCGTGAGGCTTGACTGAGGCTGGGTCGGACCGGCCCGTGGGCCTAATAAAATATTTATTAAAATATATAAAAAATAAAAAGTATACTGCCTTTAGAGATGGAAAGTCAGAATTGGATCTTTACTAAGAGGAACCAAAATTTGATCTTGAGAAGTTTCAAGAGATGGATGTTGTCATGTATTGGAAGAACCATTCTAAAATATATCCCGATCTTTCAGTGATGGTGTGTGATGTACTTAGTATTCTTATTACCATTGTAGCATCGAAATCAACATTTAGCATTGGTGGCGTGTTCTTACAAAGTACAGAAGTTGCATTTATTATGAAAATATCCAAACACTTGTTACTACTCGAAATTGGCTGCACAGGCTTTCCCAAACTCAAACTGGTAATATTTTTTTATGTGAATTTAAATATTATTAATTTTTAAAATGTAACTAATTAATATTGCATATGAATTGTAGATGTAGATGAAAGCGAAGATGTTAAGACAACCTTGTCACAAGCGGATTCAAATGTGTTTGATGAAGATGATGTGTTGGATATGTCATAAGCATCATGAGCGTTCTCTTCATTAGTTTGTTTTAAGTTTAGACTTTTAGTGAATGAAATAATCTTGTCTTTTACTTTTTTTAGTGTTTATTGTGATATATTGGAACAATATAAAAAGTTATTAAGTTTTGCGAATTTTTTCCAATAAGAATTTTTTTAACTTTTAAATAATTATATTTTTTTAGGTCAGAACTTAAAGAAAAAATATAAAATTATATTTTTAAAAATGATGGGCCGGCCCGTGAGGGCCCGCGGACCACATAGGGTTGTGGTGGACTGACCATTATAAGGCCCATCAAAATAGTGAGCTAGCCCAGCTCAGCCCGTCAATTGCTAAAGCCCACGTGAGCTGGGCTGGGCTAGCCCGGCCCGGCCCATACTGACAGCTCAGGTATAGATCTTAATAGTTCTACCATAACAATGGCACATTAATTATTTACTTTCTCAGATCCCAAATATTAGTCGATTTGGCAAAATAATTTTGTTTCGAAATATTTGACGCTTTAGTAAAACAATAAATCATTTGCTGTTACTTTTTTCTAGATTAACCCTTCTACACCAACTAGTGGAGTGACAATTAAGTGAGATATTTAAGGTAGAGAAAAATAATAGTTTAGACAAAATTTTCTTATACTCTATAAACCAAAATGCGCAAAATCTTAAAAGACAGATAGGAAGCGGAAGTAACAATTAATAAAAAAAAGTTTTCACCCCAACCAGTATTCATATAGGCCAAAATCTGCCCGAAAAAAATTTGGCGTAAAGCGACATTAAGGAAAGGATCAGTCGAGGTCGATCAGGAAGTAGTAAGATTCGTGGCTGGACTGTCAACAACGACCGAGGTCGAACAGGCTAACTTTTGTAATAGGATGGTAAAGAGAATATTCAATAGAATATTCTCTGCACTTGTACTACTAGGGTTTGTTAGGGATATGACTCATATAAATAAAATAAAAAGAGACAATAGTGTAGGACATGTAATATTGACTTGATAAGAACACTTTTCAGAAGAAGTTTCTCTCTCTAGCAAAGATACAAACATTACCTTTTACAATATTCTTGCACACATTATTCCATATCTTTCCATCAGATCCGTGAATAGTTCGAACATTCGAGGATTTGTCTGTCATCCATCATTGTCAGAAAGAACAATCATCTATCTCATTCATTATTGGGTGAATCGTTCTCCCTATTTATATAAATGTCATTTATTGTTATTTATTGTTAGTTGTTCCCCCGTTATTATCTATACCTTTTGAAATATTAAATGTGTGTTATTTTCAATCTCCCACCGACTTTATCCTATGTCATCCAAGCTGTCATATTCTATATCTAATGATATTATTAATAACTAAGTTTAACCCCACATTACATAAAATTTAATAGTTTAACTAAAAGTTTATATTTTTTGGTCAAACAATTTGGCGCCGTCTATGAGGATTTCCTAGTTAAATGTTTGGTTTCCTCTAGATCAACAACTAGCACGGATTGCTAACAAAAAAAAAATAACAAGAACAAAATTCCTTTTCCCTGTACACACAGATCTGATATGGCAGGTA